AATACATTTTAAATTAAATGATATTATAAAATATTTTAAATTTTCTATTATTTATATAATAAAATATAAACTAACAATTTTCGTTGCAATATATATTATTATAGTTAGATAGGTTGTAATAATTTTCAATTATAGTTAGTTAGATTGTAATAATTTAGTTTTTTTTTAGTGGATTAGGTTTTTCCACAAATTCGAGATTTTAGTGGTCATTTTTTATCGATTTAATCTATTTTTTATTGTAGTCTATGTATGATTATATACTTTATCCATGGCAATTCTATGTTTTATTTTTTTATGTGATGCAAATTTAATGGTTAACATAAGTTCATACATGAAAAGAACATCTTAAATATTCATAAATTGATTAAAAATGAAAGTTAATAATGTAATACCCGTATTTTTATTGGATTCTTAAAAAATAACATTTATAATGAATTTTCATAATTTTTTTGGATTTTTTTAAGATTTAATAGGACCAATTCGGCCGATTTTCGATCCGGATCGTCGATTCACCGATCCGGATGGGTTTTTGAGGTGCTCGATCTGGGGCACCGATCCGTTTTTTAAACCATTGATACAATCCCTTAATAGATGCTGGTTCTTTGGGGCCAGAGCTTTATGAAAACAACATTTTACGAAAACAAAGTAAAACTTCACCTAGAATTGTTATTTGGAAAGCACTTTGGGCACCGAAAATATCTATGATGTCTCTAATCAATACCATGTATAAATTATAAAATTTGAAACCCAACAAATGTTACTGATCATGTGGATCGGTAAACGCTTATTTTTTGGGTGAAATGGATGGTCTACATAATTTTGTTAGAATATATGTTATTTGTAGAGCTTGAAATCCTATCTTTTTTTTTAATAATTGTAAAGTCAAAGCCGAGATGTTGCATTTGAATATTTTCTTACTTTAGAACTACAATTTGGGTGAGTTTTGAGGTGAGGCTGTGACCGTAACAAACCATTTTCCTTTAATAATTGTTATTATTTTAAAATATAAAAGAGAGAAAAGATGAATTATGAGAAACATTAAGAAATGGGTTAAATTCCCTTTGTTCACAAATGTTTCTTTATATGAATGAAATGGCCCAAGATCTTCTA